TAATTATTCTTAAATTTCTTTAACAGGTTGTAAAATCAAATAGCGAAAAAAAACTTAAATTAAGCCAAAATAAATAATGCTTGCAAGAAACACGTTCTCCGTTTTTATTTTCAATTAATTAATTTCAAAGAAATTAATATGGTACAAATAAAATACTAGTGAAAGGTGTATCAATAGACTAATAGTGTTCTGCATTTCCTCTTTTTTCCGTTTCATTTTATAAGTAATTTTAAATGAATAACTACAAACCGACACTCTCGCCCTATATACCTACGATATAGCCTGAACGCTCAAGATGTTTGCGCAGAATTGATTTTATGTCTTTACATTTCGATAAAGAGATTTTATTATAACGTCGTTCTCCCCATAATTCAATTTATATATTCAGCAGAAAAATTATATCTCATTTTAAGCCGAGGGAAATCAAAGTAAAAAGATGTTTAAAGTTGAATTTATTGTTTTAAATTGACTTTATCTTTAACTGAATTGGTTTTAACATAGACTCTCCTATTGATAAAATTTTCTAGGATTTAGTAATAAGATAATAAAGTTAAGAAAATTTAAGTCAACTGAAATATTTAGAGCTAATAATTGACGGTCCTTATTGAAGAAAACATCGGAAAGTGATCTGCTCTTCAAACTCTGTCGTCAATAATAAATAAACAGATGAGTCAGGTAGCGATGTGGTTACAAAATCATTAATGGGTCTACTACATACCACATAAAAGTACAAAAATCGTGGGAGAAAGTAGAGCAGAAAGTGGAACAAATTCCGAAGATTCTTATGCTGCAGATTTTCTGTTGTACGTAAAGTAACGCAGGAGCGCTATACGACGGATGAGAGGAAGTACGGAGAGTATGTAGCTGAGACTGTGCGCAAATTACGTGAAATTTTCGGTAGAAGGAACGCCCCGAATGAAACTACGGTGAAAAAATTTGTTGACAAAACAGGTTCGGTTGCACACAATAAAAAAAACAGGCCGGCCTGTTATATAATTATACAAAATATGAGTTTTGGCGTAATATTAACCTATCAATTGGGTTACAACTATAATGTTATAATTTAGACTAACAAATAGACACTGAATAAAACATTTATTTATTACACACACCAGCGCCAACCTCATATAATTTTCCGTCATGTTCTCAAAGTGATGCAACACGATTGTAGCTCTAGATATTTCACAGCACATGCGATGCTAAATGGCGTGTCTTTTTCGTCTCCCTTGTGCATGCACTCACGCAATTTGTCACATTTTTATTGCTGTTTTATAATTAAAGTCCACTCACTGTCCCCGACGCCAGCGGTACCCAAACTGTTGACCTTACGAAAGAATAATAACGCCCCCTGAATATAAACACAGATGTTTGTTTTGTTATCAATGTAGTTTGTGCTGTTTTACATGTGGAGGTGTATCATAAAATACAGTGTGACAATGAATGAAATTATTCATCAAAAGTACTACGAAATATAATAATTGTAACTGATAATATAAACTCAGACCTATCATCGGCATCATTGAAAACATGAATTTACAGAAAGATAAACCATTTATACATTTGTTTTGAATAGCAAAACGGTGTATTTCTGCGAAAGTTAAGTGAAGGGTTCGGAAACTATGAAGATTGTTAGGCAGCGTTTATTTAAATGTAAACGATATAAAGTCAACCTGCCTCGAATTCAGCCGCTGTTGGGCGGCGCAAAAGGCGACGTCAAATTTTATTGCTTTAAACCGCTTATAACTTGGAGAAACTTGTTAACAATCAAATAGTTACCAGAAAACAATTTACTTAGCCTAAGCCTGCTCGAACAACGAACTTTACGCTACTCTTAGCTCCCAAAGCCAAATTAATGTTTCTTGAAAGCGGCACAGACACCGAACTGGATACAAAAATGGAAGCTAATGGAATAAAAGTCTGTAATACAAAGGCAATATTTCCCTCTCATTTCAACAATTGCAGAGAGGTAACAGAAACATCTACCTAGCCATGATAAAAACAATAAAACCATGCGTTACATTATCGATTTTAATAGTAACATGCTTTTCCTAGGTTTATGTCAAATTTGATTTCAGTTCGTTTATTGTTCTGTGGTTTTTAACAAAATATGGGTTTTGTGGAATAGGAACATCGTACTGCCATGAAATTTGCAACAGAGGAACATTGTAGTCCTAAAACTATTCGTGAACAAATGGCTGCAGTATATGAAAGCGAACTTCAGTCATATTTTAAAGCAAAGTATCGGTGAAGACGGTTTTGATGATGCTCTGAGTCCATTGAAGATGATTCAACACGTGGAAGGTCTTCAGAAGGAAGGAAAAAAATGTTTTGAATTGTTTTCCTTGTTATCTTTATAACAGAGTAAAAAATGTATATTGTTACGTTGATCTAATGGCCGATATTCAAAGGTTTACGTCTGTTTGTTTTATTTTTTGTGATTTATTTATGAAATACATACGCTTCTGTTTGGGATCAGTTTCGGTAGAGTTTTGTATCAGAAAATTTCAACGTCCCCGGGCAACACCGGCTGCTAATTAAATATTGGATTAGCGATTTTTTGCGTTCATTTAGAGAGTAATTACGTCCACGCAGATTTTTTTTGAAAAGATACTACGTGGAAACGTTTTGCGGAAAAAAAGAACACAACGCGAATTAATTTACCCACGGCGAGATACACCAGATAACTTCATAATTTATTTTACTGGAAATATGCTCTCGGTTTTGCATACATCAACATAGATTGAATCATAATGGGTAAAGTAAAACTAAACAAAATCGATCGCCTGACGAACTCGAATGACAAATTTGACGAACAAGTCAATCATTCAACGTGATTTATTATTTTCCATTAAATTAATCAAAATTTTGACGGCTACAAGATAACATTCAGCAGAAATTAATTTCATATGCAAACAGGGTTCAATCAGTTCATATCAACAAGGAGCGCATATCTACATGCGTCCTCCAGACAGTTCTGTTCCGGTAAAAACCCGTTTGCAACAGCTTAGGGGGAGACACTCGATAATAATTTAATAGTTTTTATTTTATAACAATTAACAGAAATTTTATTTTATCTGCTCCCACTATAGTAAATAGACTATTTAAAAGTGGAAATTGCTATGGACAACGGAAGGTAAGTGAGGTAACTTACCTCCCTAGGGAAAAAAGCGATTTCGAGTTATAAATGCATATTTTATGAACAAATAAATAGAAATATTTGATGAACATTACATTCAATGAATGAATATTTATAGTAATTGTAGATATTACATTTAGTAACATTTATAAAATCTGGATAATTATTACGGAGGCTCAATATTATCTGACTGACCCATTAAAACAGGATGATGTTGTAATTGTTGTAAAGAATCCTGTTGGACATTTCAATTTTGTTACTTAAACTGTCAGCAACATGACTTTCTGCAATTGTGGCTGATTTCCACCCACCATGTCTCTTAACTATATCAACTCCTGTATTAGCCAGTAACGTTGCCGATGTTCTTCGGAATGAATTGCCTGTATATGTTTCAGGATGTTCTAGTTATAACACTGTATAATCTTATTAGGAATCATAGAAAGGGTATTCTTGCTGACTGGTTGGTTGTAACATCTACCTGCTTGATAGCCAATAAAAAGCGTGAAATTTCAGTTTTAATTTCCAATCTAATCTTGATATATTTCTTGAAAATTTCTAGGTGAGAAACAGAACCCAGACGAGAAGTAATTGTAAACGTACGTGACATACCATTTTTAGAATCTGGAATTGTAACTACAATAATGTCACCGCTGGCGATGTATCTATCTATCTATCTATTTAAATATCTATCTATCCATCTATGGTATGTTAAAATCTGACCACCATTAACGTAAAATTAACTTCCAGTAAATGTCAAAATTTTTATTCCATTTTTCGCAGTTTCGAAACATTTTTCGGAAAAGTACACTGTTTTGCAGGTGTTTACTTTCTTATTCTTTGCTTTAATTTCTATCAGCCTGTGTGTGTATTTACAATAGAAATTCAATGCACTATATTCGCATAAATTAAAATATTCTAATTTCAAATAAATATAAAATATGTAAGTTACTAACAAGTTGCGGGAAATAATACAATGCCATTAATACAAAAACAACCTTTACGGAGAATTGATCGGTTACGAATATAGCGACACTACCTTCCGGCCAACCATAAAAGATTGTCACGTAAAAGCGCATATTTAGCAATGCCCAGCTAAGCCAATAATTTTTTCAACTCCAGCACAGAACAAATGTGTTTTTATAGGGCGGTATTTTGCAATGCCGCCTTTCTCATCTAGAGAACAAAAGAAAAAGAAGTAGTTTTCACATATAAACCAGAGCAAATGACTTGATGCCCATATTTCTACAGAAACATTTTTCTAGAGACAGTTAAACTACTGTTGTTGCCGTTACAAAGCGGGCTATCTCCCTGGATATCCTGCCGTAAAATGGAAATTTATAGCAAAATTAGGTTTTCCTAGCATTTATGGAACAATATCCTACGAAAATATCCTGTTTAAGAAACGTATGTCGTCATCGTAGAACATATTTACAGCTTTTATATACGTGCGATCCTTTTTTGTATCTAAAAACAAAAAAGAAGATTACTATTGACATAATTTTTTCGTAAATAAACTGTGCGGAATGGAAACTCCAGAAATATCTGTTCGGTTTGCACTTTGACAAGACGCCAGTGACGATATTTTTGTAAACAAAGGATAGATTCGATTAAATATCTGCTCGATGACCTAGTTATCTCAGTAGCAGCTTACTCAACCTCGCAAACTGCGACATTAGAGAAAGCACATTACATAAAGAAGAAATCTGAATAGAACCGACAAAAAACTGCATCGAACTCCATTAAAAAATTTTACCGGTGCATTGTTGCGGAAAATATAATCTTAAAATAGGGAAACTGAATCCAATATAAATAGAATTTTAGAAATTTACCACATCAGTACAATCACCATAGCCATTGCGATAACATGAGAATACTAGTGCTGTGTTTAGGCCTGTGCCTGGCGGTCTCCTACTGCTCGGCTAGGGTAATCGCGGAGGACGATAAAGCAGGTGCAGTCGCCGACCTAGTTGCTGCCGAGACTCAGCACGAGAAGTCAGAGCATCACGAAGAAGGCGGTGGCGACCAGAAGCACGCCGAACACCACGAAGACCACGGCGAGAAGGGCGACAAGGGATACAAATCCGAACACCACCACGATAAGGGCGGTCACGGCGAACACGAGAAGCACCACGCGGCAGGCCACCACGAAGAAAAGGGAGGCCACCACAAGCACCACCACGAGGAAGGTGGACACCACGGGGAACACCACGCCGGAGGCAAGAGCCAGAAGGGCGGTAAATTCGGCGAGAAGAAGGGACACAAGAAGGGACAGAAGACTACCGGTTACCACCACAAGTCGCACAAAGACGACTACCACAAAGAACATAAGTTCTACGATGACTACCACAAGGGAGGACATCACTCCAAACACGGAGACTTCCACGGTCACCACGGGGGTAAATCGGGACACCACAAGAAGGGAGGTTCCCACAAGAGCGGTCACCACCAAGACCATCACGGCAAAAAGGGCCACGCCGACAAGGGACACTACGACGAGGACCACAAAGGATTCAAGGGTCACGGTGGTCACGAAACCCACCACGCCCATCACTCCGACTACGGAAAGAAGGGCGGTCACTCCGGAGGAAAGGAGTACGGGTACGCTCAAGGCGGCGGTGGAAAGCACCGTTAAAATGTATGCCATGCGTTTTTCATCAGTGAATTTGCCAATGATTATTATATTTGTCTCCACTATTAAAATAACATCACCGGTGTATATATTTTAGAGTGGACATTTTGTTATTGTTATGTATGTGTTGATTGTTTCTTTTATTCTAATATAATAAATTATTTTATTTTAATATCTCTACTTTCATCGATCGTGATCGATCTTATATTTTCTTCTGCTCGAAATGTGGAAATTCTACTATTTATATTTGTGCACTTTTATGTTGAATTGTAACTTTATCTTAAAAGCAGACATAATAATAATCTAAGGAGTGAAACTTGCAGCAAAAAATGGTTCCGCTTATTTACCTATTTCCGAATAGTACCAACTTTCTTAATAGTATTAAATAATTGCACGGATACTTAAATAAACAACAAAAAAACCGTTCCACTTTGAAAGATTATCGCATAATCTTTATACTTTACGTTTCATTGGACATTAGAGAGTATTACGCTGATTCTATCGTTTTTCCGACAATTTTTTATGAGCAAGCAACAAAAAACTGTGGGAAAAAATTTTGAGGGCTCAATTCTATTAATAAAAATACGAAAATTCGATATTAATCAAGTTACATAACTACAAAGTTATTTTATTAATATTTTACCCTAATTTTAAGAATTTAAGCAATGCCTTCAAATTTGACATAGTTATGTAAGTAACAAACTCCCTTTATATGCTAAATAAAAATCACTAAAACCTTTGAGGACTTAAACAGCCCTGAATGACTAGGAAATTTATTATTACGAAAAAAAATCATTGTTTAATGTTTTGTAACAATGTTTCTATTCAAATCTCCACCCCCAATTCTCTTCTAAATTTAGCAATTTTTATAAGCAATTTAAACGATGTGGATGATTAAAAATAATTTGCAGATTTTAAAAAGCAAAATAAATAAATTTTGAACTGTTTGTAAGACCGTAAGTAATAAATGCTTTTTTATCTCAGAAATCAACTTGGAAAAAGAGAAGCTGTATGATTTTTTAAATGGTTCGATATTTTAAAAATAAAATCTATTTTCTTGTAATTTGAAACCTTAAAGGCTTTAAAATCTTTTTTTGTAGGTGCAGTTGACTGTATAATACTAATAGTACATACACCAAATTTAAAAACGCAAAGATTATGACAAATTATATTATTTATTAAATAAAAATATCTTTGACATTGTAACTCCAGTAATATCGACTTTTCGAAAAAGGGTCGTAGTAGAAACAATTCTTCAATTTTTAACTCAAGATAGTATTCATTCAAAATTGTATACGTACAATTTCTAGAATTAGACATTTATCGTTTTGATTTTCTCTGTTATTCTTTAAAAAATATTTAATTGGCTATAGCAAAAGTAAGAATGAGAATTTTATGAAATTATAAATAAAATGTCCTGGAAAGTCCAAAGAGAAGCTAAGGTATTCCTTTTTCGAAAATTTCTCCAAAAAATAAAAACGATGAGGAAATACTGGAATAAAAAATTACAGAAGCTTTGAATTCTAACTTTTTTACATAATTGTCGAACACTATTGCAAATGGCGGATTTATTGTACAAGGATTTCACTAAATCATCTGTAGAAGCACGGGGTTTTAATACTTTGAGGGTACAAAGAAGTATTCATCTCAACCTTCGACTCTACAAATATCCCAAATCAGTCTCATAACTTAATACCTAGTTTCTACGATACTGATGGAAAGTTATACCTAGACTATTTATTAATTCACTCAGTTAATACCAAAATCAAGCCCTATTAATTGCCACAATGATTAATTTAGTAGAAACCGTCTCGATTCCAACTTCGATGAATAGGGAGAGCTAAGATACAATCGTTTTAATTGAATATCGACTGTTTCGATTCCAACGACGCGACGGGTATGAACAAACGAAAGTAACAGCGTTTTGCAATTGGATTTTAACATTTAAGAAAGTTCCTTTTAATATCCATCAAATTAACAAGTCTCTTGCAGTATCGATCCGGACGAAAACTTTTTTCATAAAAAGCTGGAAGTGTAGAAAGTTAGAAGTATAAAAATGAGAATTACACAAATTAATGCAGAGTTAGGAATCCATTTTATCCAAAATGCCCTGAAAATTATGCACTATTTCTTAAACCAAGTTTAAAATACATTCCGTTTTCGTAAAAAAGTTAATTGGAATCTGGAAAAAGCAAGTCATTATTCCAAAATAATTTAAATAAGAGTAGTTCGAGACTAGTAAATAATGAAATACACCAAAAGTGTATAAGTTGCACTAAATATCTACATTTTTGTGCCATAAACAAACTAGGAACACATGAATTGTAGTGCATTCAATTTTTTGATCCCTTATAATTAAAAAGTGAAATAAATGGATATAGTTTCATCCCAAATTCAGCTTATAAATGCACTTTAAAGTTGAATAAAATCCCTTAATATACTTTACAAATTTTTATTAAATTTATAGTCAAACCAGTTACAATAAAACTCAATTAAGTGAAAATCATCCGCATAAGGACTGTAGGTTTACTATCATTTCAGTTTCATAGACAGTTTTATATTCACTAAAAATATGGTGGGGAGAGAATTAAATTTTGACCCCCTTGCACAGGGTTTCCCATTTAAGATGAACTGTTCCGCAGCTCTGGTAATACCAATAACACAAAAAAGGTTTACTTTTAGTAGCACCAAATCCATTCGTCCATTCTTCTGGGTGTTATTTAACGTCTGTTTTTCTGGTGGAATACCTTGTTTAATATTGCATTTTTAAATTTCTCCTTGAATTTAAATCCTTCACTAATATCTGGCTAAATAGAAAAAATTAAGCCCCGAAAAGATTCGAGCACCTGCAATTATTATTTTTCGTGATGAAAACTACACTTTATTATGATATTTTGTTTACTACGACTTTCCATCTTCTTAATATGAATGACAAGAGTATAGAAGCATATATTTCGTTCGTAATCGAGCATAATAAAACGTGTAGTTTCGGTAAGTTCCAAAATTCCAGAGCTTACGCGGGGACAAACTGGCTAGAGTCCGGATTATACTGTTGTTATTAAACCCTTGCAAATATGTTTGGCTCTCATACTTCCCAGGCCAAACAATATCAACTTTTAAGCATATCTGTGACCGCGTACCTCATTTGTATAGCTTTGTTCCCCAGTTATTAACTTTTTGGTTGTATCTTTCCAACGCTGAATATCGTGCGTGGTTTTAAATGTACGTGTTTCTGTGTTATTCTGCCCGAAAATAAGCTCTTACTTTTATTCGAAAGGAGATACAGGAAACGCGTAACGGAAATGCAAAAAAAAACACCCCGGAAGGCAGGGAAACTTTTTCCGGAGAGGATGTTCTAAAAATAAATTCTTGATAATAATTAGAAAATCCAGAGATCTGGTTCGGGAACATAATATGAGGTTCTTGCTATTTATACTTGGCATAAGAAAATTTCTACCTACGTATTTTTTAATGTATCTTCTTCATTGAATAATTGTACATACATTATATTACAAGCGAAATGTTTGAAGCACGAGCTATGATTTTTTTAGGGAGCAATTTTTGGAAAAAAATAATTTATCATTTTTCGTAATTACCTGCAAAAAATTATAATTTATTGGCACATAAAAGTGCTCAAAAATCAAATTGAGCTTGATACTTTGTGGTTGCAATCTCCTACAAGGAATATCCCGGAAACATTTCTCTCAGAAACAATGAATAGTTAGGCAACCAGCAGCGCGGAGGGTGTTATGACGTCATATATTCAGTGTTGCTTGCAATTTTAGAAGCAAATCAAACTTCTATATTTTTAAAACCATTTCTTGAATTTCTACACCTCTTGAAGTGGCATACTGCAATTTTATCCAGTTATTGAGAATTAATAAAACCATTTAACAAACCGAACAAAGACTGAAGTCAAAACTGGAAGAACGAGTCTATGTTAACAGCAGCGTCTTCCAAACTCTAGTTATCAAAAGTATTAACTTTTTTCTTTACTTTTGATTTTGATTTTGTATTTTATATTAATTGTTATTAAGCAACCAAATAGCTGAGTAATTCGTCTGAAATGCCAGTCTGGTGATTCTCCTGACGAATAATATTCGCAATTTTCTAAATTTGAGAGTGTAATTGAGTGCTGAATCGCAGAATAGTTGTTTCCACAACATCATTAGTTAAAATCTTTCATCACGTTGCGAATAATCTAAACTTTACACTCTGTCTCGTTAAAAATCGAAATAAGAAAGCCCTGCCAAGAAAATTGTCGTGTTTGTGCATTTAGTTAAATTCATAGCCAGCTTAATAAAGCAATTTAAAATCATATATTAATCGTACTATTGCAGTCACGCTAGAATCGCAATTTGAAGAAAAAGACCGCCTCTGAGACGAGAATTGCGGATTACAAAATTATTACGGTTCATAGTTACTATACAAAGTTCCAAATGCAGAACTAGATTGGAGGTGCGAGAGATTGGGCCTCTTAAAGCGACTACTCTGCCGAACGATTGTATCTAAACAAACAGGCAAGATCTCAATTTTACGCCAAATCAATGCATGTTGGATCCGAATAACTAAAGAACGATGTAACTGACAATGGTTAAAATTTACAAATTGCATTATATAAGAACCGCTTTCACGATCTAAAGTTATTTAAAATTAGAAATTCCCAGTCGGATTCAACAACCTTCTGGAGAAAAAACAAACGTCTAACTATTGCAAACTTTTTTGCAAATTTTACCTACTTTGCGTAGACCGAATTTTGAAATGATATGGATGACATAATATGACATAATTTACCATATAATTCAAGGATAACTCCAACCTGGGTTCATAAATAGTTTATTGTTTATAAATAAATTAAATTATAAATAAATAACATCGTTTTAAATATGTCATTGTTTATATTTCAGTAGACATAATTCTGTGTCAAGTGAACACTGAAATAAAATTCAAAAGTGGAGTAAAAAAAACAAGCGTACCTGAGTTGCGCTTTCTAAAAGTATTTCTGCTTTTGTTGCCGAAATACCGGCATAAGTGGGTTAAAACTTACTTATAAATATGTAACCTAGACATTAAATGCTCCGCAAATCGAGCAGTGAATTATTTCCATTTTAACTTTTAGATAGAACAAAACGTCGTGCTCGTACATTTGGTAACCGCGAATTTTTCTGCTTATTGGAAACAATTGGCGTAAACACGTCTGTAGTGGAATTAACGAAATGCAAACACGATTTTCAATACTTTAATCATTATGTATTCCGTTTTTCCGCGGTTGTTTTTTCCTGAAAAACAGTGGTCTGTTTTAATGCATATCAATTTGTTTCGCCTATATCGCAAGGCAACAACCACTGTTTTGTTACTGGATTGGTTATTAAGTAAGGCATTTGAACTAAAAGTAAAACAGTACTTTTACAAAATGTATTAAGTTTGAAACGTGACAAATCGCACAGAAAGTTAATTACAATCGCAGTTCTAATTTATGTGAAATATGATCATATTTTTATGAACATGATATAGGAACAAATAATCCAATTGCGTCCGAGGTACAGCTAAAGATAAATTAAATGCCATTTATGCAACACCCCGCATGTTCCATTTACCAAATCCTAAAACCTAATTACATAAAAGTAGTCGTTTAATTGCATAAAATCTTAGATACTGGTAAAAACCGACGAGATTGCATTGCATCTTATTGTACAGAAAATCAGTGAGGCGGGAAATTCGTGTACAAATATGAAGAAACTAAAACAATATAAATACCCCACACAGTCCAACAATCAGTCAGTTCAGCCGGTGACAACAATTCGAACACCATGAAACTCCTGTTCCTGTGTCTGGGTGTAGCCCTATGTGTAATTTACAGCAGCGCAGAATATCAGAAGGATGAAGAATCCGCTGTAGCCGGTGACTTGGTCGCTGCCGCGTCTGGACACTCACATCACCACGAAAGCGGTGGCGGGCATCACGGACATGCAGACCATCACTCTCATCACGACAGCAAAGGCTCGAAGGGTCACAAACACGACCACCATCACGGCGGCGGACACCACGGTCATCATGGAAAACACCACGAAGCCGGTCACCACGGCGAACACGGCGGACACCATCACGGTCACCACGACGGCGGCGGTCATCACCATTCACACCACGCAGGCGGACACCACGACAAGGGGGGACATTTCGGCGAAAAGAAGGGCCACAAGAAGGGACAGAGCGTCAATGGTTTCCACAAGAAGGAACACAAGGATGACTACCACAAGGAACACAAATTCTACGACGATGCCCACAAGGGAGGCCACCACGGGAAACACGGACATTTCCACGGACACCACGGAGGCCACTCTGGACACCACAAGAAGGGAGGTCAGAGCCATGGAGGACACCACGGCGAACACCACGGACACGAAGGACACGATCACAAGGGACACCACTCCCACGGACACCACGGACACAAGGGACATGGAGGTCACGAACATCATCACTCTCACCACGATCACTACGGCAAGAAGGGTGGTCATTCTGGCGGACACGAGCACGGGCACCACTCAGAACACAAAAATTAATGACTGCGTTGTTGTATTTTTACATCAAATTGATGTTTGTTTTTACGTTTTTGTTGTTTATATTGTTTTACACGCAAAATCGTTATTTGTTGAGTTTCAGTTGTTTTCAAATAATAAAGAATCATAAGTAATGTGAAAATTATTGAAATGCTTTTATTTTTTCTCTCCCCTCGGTAAAAAAAAAGAAAATTCAATTTAAAAAGACTTATTTATCTTAAAATTTTAGGAAAATTGTTAATCAAGCACTGAGCTAAGTAAAATATTATTTGACTATTACAATTTTTTAAATAGAAAAAAAAAACATTACTAAATATATGTATTTACCTTCGAATCTAAATTACTAAATCTTCAAAATTTCATCATTACTAATTTTTTCATTAGTCTACTTTCAATTGTAATAAAAACAAGCCCATCTGAATTCGATTACGAGATATCTTTAATATAACAGTTCCCTTTAAACTTTTTCTTTAATCTTCAGTAAGATTGATACAATTTATAATAGATTACAACACAACAAATACATAAAACATATTTTACTGTGTTTTGCAGAATAGTCCATCAGATATTAACCTAATTTGAATTAAGTCCAAAAATTTTCTAAACTAATTGAGGAACCATTCTAATTTATGTGAATCATGATCATACTTTTATGAATATGATATAGACACAAGCAATCCCATTGCATCCGAGGTACAACTAAGGGGAAATTAAATTCTGTTTATGCAACATCCCTCCTGTTTACCAAATCCTAAAACCTAATTACATAAAAATAATCGTTTGATTGCATAAAATCGTAGATAGTAGCAAAAACCGATGAGATTACGTTTCATCTTGTTTTAAGCCCTCCATAGACTACCATGTTTTTCGTCCGTTCGCATTGTAGCGACTTACCGCGTGTTGCATCGTCACAATGTTTTCCTCAAAGACTACGAACTGAGGTACCAGTTTATATCGAATACTTACGACGAACCGGACGCAATTATTAGCAGGGGCAACGATAACAGTAATTCTCGCTAGGAAAAAGTTTTTTATAATGGCTACAGGGTGGCTTCAATAAGGAAATATATTGACTCATACAAATTTGTCCACATTTAAAAATTAATTACAGGCACTTGTTTTAACTGAGGTAAAAGCGTACACAATACGCTAATTAAATGAGGAAAAAAACGACGAATTACATCATAAGTCACCACAGACTCTCCGTTTGGCGCGAAGCCGACGAACCGTCCGTCGTGTCTAAAATCAAGCCGCAACTGATGTTTGGCTCGACGGTTTTTGGCCACAGACTATCGGTTTGGCACGCCGATTAGAATCGCTGCGATGCGAACAGGCGAAAAACACCGCAGTCTACGGGAGGCTTTACAAAGAATCATTGATGCGGGAAATTCGTGTATAAATATGAAGAAACTCAAACACTATAAATACCCCACACAGTCCACTGATCAATCAGTTCAATCGGTGACAACAGCTAAGCAACAATTCGAGCACCATGAAGCTCTTGTTCCTGTGTCTGGGTGTGAGCCTGTGTGTAATTTACAACAATGCTGAATATCTCAAGGATGAAGAATCCGCTGTAGCCGTCGCCGACGACTTGGTGGCTGCCGCTTCTCATCACTCGTCTCACCACGAAGGCGGTGGCGGACACGAGGGACACTCAGGGCACCATTCCGATCATGGAAGCAAGGGCTCAAAGGGTCACCACCACCACCACCATCACGGTGGCGGACACCACGGCCATCATGGAAAACATCATGAAGCCGGTCACCACGGTGAACACGGTGGACACCATAACGAACATCACGAAGGCGGCGGGCATCACCATTCACATCACGGCGGCGGACACCACTGGAAGGGTGGCAAATTCGGCCACCACCATGGCCATGACAAGGGACAGAAGACCCACGGTTACCTCAAGAAGCAACACAAGGACGACTTCCACAAGAATCACAAATTCTACGACGATGCTCATAAGAAAGGCCACCACGCCAAACACGGACATTTCCACGATTACCACGAAGGCCACTCTGGGCACTACAAGAAGGGAGATAACCACCATTCGGGACACGAAGGTGGACATCACGGAAAGAGCGGACACCAAGAAGGAGGACACCACTCTCACGGACACCACGGACACGAGGGACATGGGGGCCACGAAGGTCACCACCATCACCACGGTCACCACAGCAAGAAGGGTGGTCACTCTGGCGGAAAACATCACGGTTACGACCATAAGAACTAATGACTGCGTTGTTTTATTTTTGCATCAAATTGATCTTTGTTTCTACGTTTTTATTGTTTATATTGTTAGTTTTATTGTACACACAAAATCGTTATTTGTTGAGTTTCAGTTGTTTTCAAATAATAAAGGATCATAAATAATGTGAAAATTATTCAAGTGCTTTCATATTTCCCCTCCTTGGTAAAGAATATTTATAAACATTTTTATGAGAATATATATACTATTACATTTTTTCTTAATTTAAAAAAAATATCAATCATATGTAGTTACCTACATAAATTATAAACTTTAACTGAATTAATTATAATAAGGTATACCCATCTGAGTTCATTTCTCGAGATGTTCGCTATTGAACAGTTGTGATTGTTTCACTTTCAGTAAGATTCATAGAATTTGTAATAAATTACAATATAAAAACATAGTAACAGGTATTCAACATCTAAGTATGGTAAGCAACTTGTTACAAGTTATTATTATTTTATTGTAGGAAATAACTACTCTGTGGACTAAAACTAAGCCTTGATATATAAAATGAAGAAATTTATTTTAGTTCCGTTGTTCGGTCCCTCGAACAGCTTCAAACTGCAGTTAGAATTGTTAATTCAAATCTCTCTGTATAAAAAAAAATTCGAGTCTTGGAACGTGGAAATTCGGTCCATCTGAAAGATCGTTCAATTTTGTAATATAAAGATTTACCATTGTACATTTTTTTTCTGTGGTTGATTATTTGTTTTTTTTATATAACTTATCGTTTATTAGTTAGTATGTGGTGTGAATTATAACAATATTTTGAAAGAATATTTTGTATCGGTGTGGTTTAAATAAAATAATAGATTTTCCTGTTACATCATACATTTCATATTGAAGTCGGCATATCTTGAAAACAAGTAAATATTGGAAAAAACTTTATATTACAAAAATTACTCAAAATTTAACGATCTCTTAGATGGACCGCATTTCCACGTTTCAGGGATCAAAAAATTTTTTAGTACCGCTACGCCATCTATATAGAAAGATTTGAATTAACAATTCTAACTGCAATTTGAAGCCATTCGAGGGACCCAACAACCCCATTTTCCGAAACTAAAATAAATTTCTTGCTTTCGGGGATATTGGCAGTGTCAAATGGCACACCCTGCATAAAGCAAAACAAAAATCAGAAAAAATTTATAATTGAGGCACAAAAAAAATTAAATAAAAAAGGCAAAGGGCAGGCAAAAATAAATATAATATTTCAAATTATACGATTTTTATTTTAATTCTCTTAATATCGCTACCCAAACGCCTACTTTTAAAGAATATAAACTGGCTTCTACAAATGTATAAGGATTTTCTGCAGCCAAAATTCAATAATTTTGGTGAGTGAAGCGATATGTAAAACCACGGTTCGTTAGTCCAAAATGCACGAATGTCAATTCAGTTTCATCAGTCATAATGATCCGTTTACAATGAACAATACCAAACCGTTGTGTGATAAAAAATTACATCAATAATTGACCAGCTCGTGAAACAGAATATTGAGTTTTAACGTAATCTTGAACATATTTTAGTAATTTTTTATTTTGCCAACACGAGGGATGTGAAATTACCGTCTTACTCTCTTATGAAGACTCTGTTGCTGTCATACCCCGTAGATGCATTTACATCTTATCAAACACCCCGATGGTGCGCCACAACTTTGATTCTTCCCATAATAGCTTCCATTCTGCAAATATGTTGCTACGGAACAATAACAATTAGAGATGAAAGGCCTCCCATACCGATAGGTTTTTCATTAATTTTATAGCGGTAATATATGAGCACTTGAAATTACTTTTGTTTGTTCGAACTGATTTCGGCCCAATGCTCCACAAAAGCTTCCTCGATTTCAATTAATTGTTTAGGCATTTATTAGCCGCCCATTGTGCACAATCAAATTATATCAGCAGGCACAATACACCCGAATGGTCGGGAAAATTTGACTGGAACAAGATAAACAATTTATGGTCGATATCAATAACTGGAAATTAACACTTGTAAGTTCGGCATAGTAACTTAATAGTGAGCAGTGGCTTGGAGGACAACTTCGGCGCAAATTTGGAACAATTAATTACCAAGTTGGCGCGACTCCCAGCGTCGCGCCCTTTATTGTTCCACTGGAGTTTAATGTGTCGATGAATTACTGCTACAACTGATATAAAGTTTGTTTCAGTAATTAACTAAACACGTTAGGATTTAAAGTTACGGGCAAAAACCTGTCCCGGATTCGGTTACGGCATTCACGGCGGTTTCCCGGAGATAATCTTTAACTTCCTCCACATTAGAGTCTTGGTAATATATGGAATTTTATCGTAAGCCAGCCTAAGCTAGGTAAGCTAATGATGTAATCCCTTACCAAGTTAAGGGATACATAATTCGCAATGGTCGTCCTCTTGTTCTGCCTCGCAGTTACGAACAGATGACCACAAATCGGGCAGAATTAATACTATTAAAAGTTAGCTACGCCCTACTTTAAATAAAATATATATCCCGGGATTAAACCAACCTACTGAGAGGCGCAAATCTATCCACAACCAATTGCTATTATACTTATAACAAACGGGAATTTTATTATTGATCTACAGAGCGTTATATAATACAAAATGTCAATAATTCGAAACATACTACATGTAGTGGTGAAGTTCCTTTCCTGGTTAGCGAAGAGCAGGGCATAAGGGTAGACGTCCGATCACAGTCTTTGATGGGTCCGCAGAACTCATGTAGCAAAGTCCGTCTTAGTTTTGAATAATTAGACTCTCCGAATTCCCGGAAAAGTCATAAAATAGAAACAAAAATGGTGTAGGTCATTATAGAGGGTGTCCCAGAATAACGTGTACAACGGAAGACCACAGATTCGTGGACTCAAAATAGGCAGATTTAGGCTAATTCACCTATATCCAAAATCTGGTTCTAATTTTGTAGGTTGACTATAATTTCAATTCGGGATAGCATTATTATTGGCCCTGTTATTCTACACAATGGACTGAATAGGGAATTTCATTTACGAATTTTGCAAAACTCGAGTTATTGGAAAATGTGCCGTTATTACTCAGAGCTAACATGTGGTTTATGTATGATGGCGCTTCACCACATTTCACTGTAAATGTCCGGCAGAATCTGAATCAAAGATTCCCTCGTCGATGAATCGCTAGAGGGTATAATATTCCTGTTAACGGGCCTGTACTTTCACCAGACTTAACACCTTGCAACTATTATCTTTGGCGCACTCTGAAAACAACAGTGCAATGATTCATATCCAAAATTCCATAAATGTTGTAAAAAATAGCCCTCAAGAACCGTAAAGGGTGACCTTTCTTCGCCGAATTAACCTTTGTTGTAGAAGCAATGGTGGTCATTTTGAACAGTTTTATAATAAGTTGTACTAAATTTAATAACCTCAACTTTGTTACTTTTATCTCCAGCATTTTTTATTATAGTTGAATGTTTTTACGAATTATTTCAATAAAATTAGGCACGTTGTAAATAACTCTAATTCGTCATATATGTGTATCCATACCGAAAAATTAACAAATTGACAGATACAATGACTTAAAGATCAAACTGGGATTACAGCCAACCTACAAAATCACTAACACTTTGTAATATGGGTGGCAAGATAATTTTATTTTAAAAATATTTTTTGTACCCAAACCGCTCATTTAATCAAAATTCTATAAGAGACCCAAAAACTTCCAAATGGTATCACCTATCAAATAAAAAACAGTTGTCATTATCGCCCAAAAGAGGAAAAAATTATAAACGGATATTATCACTATACATCAATTTTGTATGAGTTGTGAGTTTAAAAAAAACACTATGTGTAACACCAAAATATGTAGATTGAAAGCACATACCCCAAAAATAATCAAAATCGATTTCGAGTTATTTACAAAATTCATAAAATTTTCACGAATTTTGAAGTCATCTAGTGGCCAAACAAATCGGTTTCGGTTATAGGTGAATTATCCTAAATCTGCTTATTTTGAGTCCACGAATCTGTGGTCTTCCGTTGTACACGTTATTCTGGGACACCCTGTATTCTATTTTCTTTCAACAAGCGTCTTGCTGTCAAATTTCTTAATTGTCCTCGACTGAATTTGACAGAATGGAACTACCACTTACTAGTAGGTTTAGTATGATTATATTTTTTGAACTACCAATTACAGTATCTATCTACAAAAAGGTTAAGATAAATTATAGCTTCTAAAAGTTACTTGTTTGTTCTTATGTGATTTCTAAATTGTAGCCGACCTTCTTCCAACTGTACTCATGCGCAGAATTAATATACAAACTAGTTCTGTAATCCACAATGATCATAATAATTATATTACTGTTAATTTCATAAGTTAAGTTGGATAAAAATTAAAAATGTTCTATTTTACTGTTGTGCAACAAAGAGCCAAACAGAGCCAAATGTTATGACACTGACATGATTCGTTTAATTTTGATACTTGAATGAAGACTTAAAAATATTGAAGACTGGCAGTAACAGAAGCTGAAGAGTTAAACTTGGTTCAGCTTCTCGCATAAATAACTAGGAAAAAATCAGTTTTGAATTGACCAGTAAGGCTTTCCAACAAAAAAGTTGCCAATAAGAAGCTACCATGTACTTTAACCTTAACATGGTATTAACACATATGTCGGAATCCTGGGCATTTTGTTAGTAGTACACAAACAATGTATTTCTATGTTGGTACCGCTCTAGATACTTTAGAGTGTATCAATCTATGAGATCAAAGCAACGACTAGTTAAGAATTTTTTGTTCAAAAAAGCTATTGCACAGATATTAAGCCTTTTGACTTCCTACGAAACCAAAATATGAGAAATTAAGTGCAAGCGACATCAACTTGGTGCAGTAGCGTATTATAGATGTAGTAGCAGCCACCTAGTCAAAGAAGTAAAGAAGAAGGTAAAGAACGTGGCAGCAGCGAATACTGGCGACGTGGCAACCAGCCCAGAAATCATTCAACCACCTAGTCAATACTTGAACTGTTGAA